TTAAACGAACATGACTGGGGAGCTCAATAATTTTTTAGTAGTGGTATGAAAGGAGAAGATATCTGGATGGTACTACAAGGGCGAGGAATGTCCCGTGGTCGAGGAGGAAGATTGACAATTGATAGGTCACAGATGACAAACTCAGAAGGGTTTATGATACAGCTCTTGACAAGTTCCCAGCGATATCTCGACCAGTGTTCACAGTTCACAGATCACAAGTAGTTGTATGAACATTTCAATCAGAGTAGGCAGCTTTTCATCCCCTTCCCTTGACGACTGATTGGCTCGAGATAACCATTCCGCATGTGACGTACAAACGCATAGTATATTTATTTCAACCTCCCACTTTGGTCCTCTCGCTTATCAGGGCCCACGGGAGCGGCTTTTGCCGGCCGGGGGTCAGGGATCAGGGGGTGGTGAAGGAATTCCAGCTGGCTGCCATCTTTCTGCCAGCTCCATAGTGGATAAGAACGTGAGTGCAATAACATCCTCCCAGCCGGCAATTCCTCTTCGTCGTTCTACTAGAAACACATTAGAGTCTTAAAGATGCACACGACCCACCTCTTGATCCTTGAGGTTCTCGTAGCTCGTAGGATGCCTTCAGAATCCAGGCCGGGCCGAGCGCCGATCTGTGTGCCTTCCCCTCGACTGTTTCATCCAACGTGATATGTTTCATTGCATTGAAAACATTCATCAGGTCAAGATCACTCACTCGCTGCCTACCAGAGCTTGAAGTCTGTCCTCTCAGCTCGGGTCTGCCCCACACGCCACCCTCTCGTCTGACAGACCACTCTAAGGTGGTGCATGATCAATGTTCTGTCCACTAACCTCGGGGTTCACGCTTGGTACGCATTTTCGTTGGGGGAAGATAAACGATTGTTGACATTACCCGAAACATGGATGTACGTCAGCACTTCCGATCGGCGACGGCAGCTGACTACTCTAACATCATGAACAGATGTGGCTGTCTATTCTCCTCATTTTTCATCTTTCATCTTTCCTCTTTCCTTCATTCAGTCGTCTCCCCTCTCCGTCCTCCAACTCTCCATCGACCCTCACCTCCTCTACATTCCCTCTCTCAGTCTCGTGACAGGTAACGACGAAAGGGTTGTTCGAAACGCACAGACCTACCAAAAGCGTCCAACAAACAATTGTTTGTTGTTGGGGACCCCGTAACCGTCTCGTACTTTGCAAAACTACGGTCCGTGGTCCGCGGTGGTCCAAGCGTCTAGCGTCTTTCACTCTGATCTAACGCTTGACTTCCTTTCTTACCACCCGGCCGACTACCGACTGTGCCGGCTCTCGCTTTCACCCTCCCCGGTCCACTTGCACTTTGTCAATACTACTCTCCCCTTTCCTACCCCCTTTCATCTTGTCTCAATTTCCCCTCATATGCTCTGATTCTACCTACCTTGAAACTCACATTCTTTCACCCACATCCTTATAATCCAAAGAGCTTTCAACGCTCATCACGCTCATTTCAAAAACACACACCTCTACGGAACTTGCCTCAATTGCCGCAACAAAAACGATGCTCGGACTCGCGAAACTGGCTTTGGTCGGGTTGACCTCTTTACACTCTGTTCATGCCGCCACCGCCGATGACTGGCGAGGTCGATCACTTTACCAGTACGTCCTTCTATCTTTCACTGTCTTGAACAATGTCACACGACAACGGACTGACTGACCAAAAGAATCATAACAGATCGATTCGCCCCTCCGTCCGATACCGCCCCAGCTCGGACATCCCCTCTCCCCTCAACATGCGACCCCTTGGCACAAACATGGTGCGGAGGTACTTGGTTATCCATCATCGACAAACTCGATTACTTGCAGGGGATGGGAATTGATTCTATTTGGATCTCACCTGTTTCTCGTATGTCCTCACAAGTTTTCAAAACTATGGTCCTATCACTCACGCGACAGGAAATATTGACGTGTACACACCCTACAATTATGCCTATCATGGGTATTGGGTCAATGACCCGACGACATTGAACCCGCGATTTGGTACCGAGTCTGATCTTCTCGCGCTGTCATCTGCAGTGCATGAAAGAGGAATGTACCTCATGGTCGATATAGTGGTCAACAACATTCCTTCACTCAGCGTATCAGCCTCACTCTCTTCCTCTTCTTTGGTGGCGGACAATTCGTATTGGACAGATCCGTCTGATTTTCACCCTCAATGTTGGATAGATTACAGCAATGCTACTTCCGTTGAGTACTGGTAAGTGATTCCAACATTCACTTAGTAGCCATCACTTAATGATCTGCACCTGCAGTCGTGCTAATTTCATGGATGTATGTGCGAGGAGAAAAGGTGACAAAAGCTGATTGTTAGCTGGCTCGGTGACGACAAGCTCCCCCTGATGGACGTCAACACTGAGAATCCCAATGTTGTTCAAACACTCCAATCGTGGATCGCAAACTTCACCAAAGCATACACCATCGACGGTCTTCGTATCGACGCTGCGAAACACATTCCCGGGGATTTCTGGCCTGGATTCTGCGGAGCCGCAGGTGTGTTCTGTACCGGTGAGGTATACGGTTCGGACATAGGTTTCGCCTCTCAATTCCAAACCCAACAATGGATGGATTCTATCCTCGGTTATCCTCTGTATTACTCCTTGGTGAACGCTTTCGGGGCCCCGATGGCTAACATGAGCGCTTTTGTCGATATTGGTAAACAAGTTTTATCTTCTTTCCCTCATCCGGAATACTTAGCGAATTTCTTGGAAAACCACGATTTGCCAAGATGGAGAAATACAACGGTCGACCCTCAGTTGGCTTACAACGCTATCGTCGCTCAACATATCTTTGATGGGATTCCTTTGATTTATTATGGACAAGAACAAGATTTCGGAGATGGTGCGGCTGATCCATACAATCGTGAAGCTCTTTGGCCTTCCGATTATGCAAATACGACCACATATCAACGTATAGGTCGTTTGAACAAGATTAGGAAAGCTGTCATTGCCAATAATACACAATATGCCGGACACAACTTTCTCGATTCTCGTGCGACTTTCATAGCTTCATCGAATTATGACGTCGCGTTTAGAAAGGGACCTATATTGGCAGTCTTGACTAATCGAGGGAGTCCGAGTCAAAATGCGACGTTTGGAGTTGGACAGACGGGTTTCACGAGTCAGTCTGATATTGTCGAGTGAGTGTAACGTTCTTAGTCTTTCCCCCTGCTATCCATCATCTGCGTTCTGTCCGACTTCTATTCGTCGTCTTTCTCTATCCTCCCCACCCTCCCTCCATCATTATACCTCGAACGGTGCATCGTTGTCAGCCGCTCTGTTACTCTGGATGTAAGGGAGAAAAAGCTTACACACAGTGTCTTATCGTGTAGTTTGTGGACCGTAGGATCCGATTCCACCATTTCAGTCTCTTACGCTCCTCCCGGATCAGGTGGAATGCCCTACGTAAGCTCTCCTCTTCTCCAATATCATACCCCACTAACTCGACAGTTATTCATGACACAAGCAGATGTCATAGCCACGGGTCTTTGTTCCAATTTAAAAAGTCAAACATATACATCTTCCGAACCTACTCAAACTTCTTCATCTCCTTCTCTTCATCTCTCATTCGGGTTCCTTTTCTCCGTATTGTTCGGATCATTATTGTGCCTCTTCGGATCATTCTTTAGTTTCGGTCCTTATTCTTTAGGCATCTTTTCATGATTCCAAACCCGACATTCCACATAAGTCACTCTTCCATCTGAATGAAATATGATGGTCGAAAAAGTTGTGGATACCAAACGCTTAGGGAGGAACGATTTGTGTAGGTTAACGAGGGAGATGAGGACGGAGGGGGAATTCCGACATGACAGTAAAACGCAACACACCACGAACATTTGCCATCCAAACATTGTACCAACACCATAATTCAACAAAAGAATCAATCACAAATCACGAATTCCAAACTATCTCCCAATGTCATTGTCATTGTCACGTTGCCAGATGCTGATGCTGATGCCTGAGGGAAAAGTAGGAATAGGGGGAAAGAATGTTGTATTAGCTCTTTTGTTGTAGCTTTTATCTTCTTCTGGGGGTTTCTTTGACCCAGAAAGAAGGGGATGAATAGGGATGAGTCTTGTTATCCCCTCTTTCTATGTGTTGTAAACGAATTTCTTTTCATTAACATATTGACTATCCTCATCTCTCAACTTTGTCACTTAGTACTGCCGTCCGGTACTTTAACTATGATGTTTCACTCTCGATCACTCTTTTGTGTGACAGCAGATCACTGAGATGATGAATGCACTGAAGATCATCCATGTGGTACGTGTGAGAAAACAAAACGAAAGGTGAAATCATAAATTCATCATTCATAAAACCCTTTTCACCTCGAACCAACTTTTGAGATAATGTAAATTCCATCCTCCCAATGCGAACAATATACCAGTTTGAACGATGGCCCACCATTTGACTCTACTATTTGTTGATTCAGCAGCTAAGATTTAGTTATAATTTTGTTATTGTTATTCATGATAACTCAATCTTCTGGCAGAGGATAATTCCTGGTCTGAGGATTGGATTGACCATTGCAGTAAGGAAGAAGACTTTGGGTCATTGCACCAGGTAGGAATATTAGATCGGATCAAAGTCGGAATTATTGGGAAGTGGAAATCTTTGAAAAGTGTTGGGAGTGAAAAACAATAAGGAGAAGAGAATGAAGAGGTAGAGTAGAGTCAATGAGGGGAAAGGAGAAGAGACGTATGAGATGAAGATGTTGAAAGATCCAGGGGATGAGAATTGGGAACGTACTATTTCTATGAACTCTTTCTCTAACAACGAAATAAGCTTGTTCATCTTTTACCAACTGTAATCCTGTACTAAGATCTCTTATTTCTTGTTCGACAGGTGCTATATGTTCTTCATCACTAACGTAAAGTGTACCGTGAACGTTAAACCTGTATGTCAATTCGTTCTAAATCTCCTTGAAACATTCCGACGACTTGACGTTTGACACGCATCGCTTCGTAGGCCTCTTTCGTCTTTTGGAATTCGTTTATTAATCGTACGTTTAAATCTGATGATGCAAAGCGGAAAGTCTACACTACTTGATTTACTTTTGGAGAGAAAGAGAATGGTGGGAATGATTTAAAACATTCACTCACGACAAAATCTTCCTAGCGTAACTTGACATTTCATTAGAGAAACAATAAGTATATCTCCCAGCTTGTGTAGCTTGAATTGAAAACGTTCCTTGAGATTGTTTGAAAGAAGTGTAAATCGTTTCGCCCAAAGGTTCAGTCACCTATATCAAATCAGCATGAATATAGAAGGGGAGAGAAGGGACATACGTAGAAATCAATATCCAGATGATTACCGGAACTGGCTCCTACTTCATACGTTACCGTCATCTATCATCAGCAATGGACCAACTAGCATATGGAGTTACATGAGGATTGATTAAGGATGCTGAGGGGTAGTCTCGACTCGAATGGGGAAAGGATGATGTACCAGTATCATAGGGCCGGAGGAAATGACGAAGGAACTAAGCGTGTTGGATGGAGCACTATGGGGCTTCAGAGATATGGATGATATTCAGATAAGAAGAGTCATATAGATATCGAAGGGATACCACTCACTTTATCTTGTGGTTGTAAAGATTCAAAGAAACATTCCTTCAACCCGGGATCGATCTCTATTCTATGTGCGGAGATGCACGTGAGGAAGGGTATCAGCCAAAATAAACGGACTGGGAGACGCATGTTTGATATGTTGTTTTACAGATTTGTATGCTTGTGGTCGTTCCAAGTGGGTTATGAGGTTGTCATTCCTTGTAGTCGTCAATCGTTCAAGTCGTCAGCTGTCAAGATCGTCCCTTGACATCGACACAGCGAGTCAAGTGGCCACAGATAGGCACGCAGATATGGTATGCAGTTTTGATAGGCTTGCAAAGTCCTGAAATCGCGTGTGCACGCCTCCTGCTTTCCTGCCTGCTTTACCGTACATTCCCCCTTTCAACAACCTTGCTTCTTCTTTCCCTACTATCATCTAATCTCACCTGACACACTGTAAGTTCTCTCACATTCTTCTCATCTTCATACTATCTGGCGAAAGTTAGATGAAGAGTCAATTTTTGTAGAGAAATTTCGCTAACGTCCGTGCTCAGTCCAAATCAACCATGGCCGAACCAGAAGTTGTCGCCGTGAGTCCCATCGCCTTAAGGCCAGTGAGGGAAAGCTGACAAGACAAGGAAGGAGAACATGATCCTCAATTCGAACCTGTCATTAAATTGACTGAACAAGTAGAAGCTAAGACTCATGAAGAAGATGAAGAAGTTTTGTTCAAAATGTATGTGTGGCCACACATTTCTCATCTCTTCCTTCCCTTTACATTTCTCTTACGCCACGCAAGCGCATGGATGTTTCACACATGTGATCAGATCCTTGTGTCTGACACATGGAAAACGATGGAATGATAGATCAATGAAGTCTAAGCCACGCGGCTACCTAGCTGTTATAGAGTGTGGAATGAGAGGAATGATTAGACGCTGATTGTATAGGCGTGCGAAACTTTTTCGATTCGCAAAAGAAGAATTGGAGTGGAAAGAGAGAGGTACAGGAGATGTTCGTTTGCTCAAACATAAACAATCGAAGAAGATCAGGTTGGTCATGAGGCGGGATAAAACGCTCAAGGTCTGCGCCAATCATCTGAGTGAGTCTTTGATCGCAACTTTTATCTCATCCACTCCCTGACATCTGCAATGTATGCGGACCGAACTTGTGTCTAACAGCGTCTAGCAATGACGCTGTCTAATGTACAGGCCGATGAGGATGGAAAGGAGTGGACGGTGGTCATGTGTTGTAAATCTGATGGATACGGTCTGCTAACTCGCAGTCACTTCAGAGATGAAACTCTCCCCCAATGTCGGTTCGGATCGTTCGTGGGTATGGAACGCGGCCGATTACGCAGAAGCGGAAGAAGGTGTCGCAACTTTGCAAACTCTCGCCATCCGTTTCGGTAATGCTGAGAGTGAGTTGAGCTACTTTATTCTGACACTAGTCTCGAACACCTCGTGTACCTCCAAACCGGTCGAATGCAGGCAACGTAGCGTAGTCGCCGTACAACACTTAGCCCTCTCACCTTCCGCTTGGACTTCATGTTCATTTCGGATATCAACTTCGGTAATAAATATCATTAGCTGACAAGCAGACGCTAACTTGTTCAAACAAGCGTTCGAAGACGCTCAAGAGCACAATCTCAAACACGGAGATACGGCAGTTCTACCCGAGGCTCCTGCAGCTGAGGAAGACAAGGATGAGGCTGGTCAAGATGAACCTACACCCGTGGCTGTCAATGTGAGCTACAAATGCGTCCTCCTCGTGTAGCTGACACTCAGGAAACCGCCCCTGCCGCAGAAGCCGAACATCCCAAAGAGGAGGAAAAGGCTGCCGAGTGAGTGATACGCCAGTCATGGACCCACATGTCAATCTCATCATGGGCCTCTCTGCTTTTTCTGTCGTTAACAGTGCTCGTGGAGGGGATGAGCTTGTCAAAGGTATGATTTGAGACGATCACTGACGGAACAGCACCGCCGAGGCTCCATCAACTCATAATCCCGCACCTGCCGAAGCTGAAGCCGCACCCGCTGCCGAAGAGGTCGAGGAGACTGCCGAGGTAAAAGTTGAGGAGACTGAGAAGAAAGAGTAATCAAGGGAGTGGAGATCATTCATCACGATAGGTTATGTGAACCGCATGAATTTGTTATCACGTCGTAGAGTTGGTACTTGACCATTTGTCCATCTAGACAGTATTCATAATATCTACAACTTCGCACACTTCACTCTCTAATCACCACAAAACCAAATATCAGCAACCAACATCTTCAAGATTTCATAGACACGGTGAACGAGCATGATGACTGACGATATGTCATAATATCCCAGTAATATGAGAAGACGTTTGTGGGGGAAAAAGGTCAAGCCATAAGAGCCGCTCTCCAACGTACACTCTCCCATCCCCAACCGAAATGCACAATGGCCGAACCGAGTACTAACCAAGGTGCTTGACCCCATTGTATAGAAACGCCATCTTGGTTTGATGTGATTATATTTTGTGAGAAAGAAGAGGCATGACCTATGATAGCTGCTTGTGCGATGAAAGATATCCAAGTGAAACTGAGGTCAGACCTGACAATCCCCGATTTCTCATTCCGATATCTTCTTCTGTACGAATTCTTCTTTTCTGTCCTGCCCAGGACACATTTAAAACGACCTTTGATCCCGTCATGTATGTTATGAATGGGGATGGGTGTTCAGGGTACAGGAAGACCGGAAGGGAGAGGAAATATATGAGGCAAAGAGCGATGCACGGTTCAGGTAAAATGTGCGAAGGACATGTATGAGTATAATAAAGTGTAAGAGCAATATATAGGATTGAGATGTTGGGAAAATATAAGAAACTTACAGGAACACGATAGCCACGGAAACCATATGGATCTGTACTGAACTCCATAATTTGTCATTGTTAGGAGCGGGGCTAAGTCGAAAACTATACCGGATGGTATATGCGTGCCATGCTCCAGAGGCGAGTACGAAGGAGAAGGCTGGTTTGTCAGTTTGCCATTATGTTTTCTCACATTACAAATGTCAAGAAGATGAGTGGGTGTTACGTACCTACAACTCTGTTCATTAGCCTTTACTCGGAGAATGTCACGCTGAGATTCCATCCCTCTGATTTCAATGTGTATTTGTCGGATCACGACAAGAAATGAGGATATAATTTCACCTTCTTCAACAAACGGGAATGATGCCTTGGCGGATAAGAGCATAAGAGGAGAAACAGGTATCAGATGGAAATATGCACAGGAATAGAGAGAAGCAGAATATAGGACGGGGTGCGAAAGCAGGAGAAGACACTCACGAAGTAACGGCAACTCGACCAACGTTGTAATTTATATCATCAGGAAGGATGAATCCAAAGTAATTTTCAGGAATTTGCCATTGATATCCACGACTTATACAACCTAAATCAGCTGTGATGACAAAGTTTGAGACGTTGTATCCGCAGTAATTCTAAGTGTCAGTTCCTTGGCCACTTTCCTAAGGGGAATCTGGCGATTGTCGAACGGATTGTCTTAGTCATCTCTCTATCTGGAGCTTGGGGAGGAAGAAAGAGCCAAGGAAACGTACGGTGGAACCGAAACGGATCTGATATCAGCGATATTCTTTCCACCGGTGAGACATTGACCCTTCCGATCCTTCATCAGGCTACTTGGCCTAGTTATCAAGTTTCAAAATGATAGGGTGGCAAGAAGATAAAGACAGATCAAATATCAGTCGATTTGTGTGAAGTCAAAGTGACTAAAGAGGGGAGGGAAGATCACAAAAACACTCACAGTCTCAGTAGGTGTAGTAGCGCTAACATACCAAATTGTACTCGCACTGGAAAACGCAGCAATACCTAATAATACGCATGATATTATTGGGTACAACAGATGATAAGGCAAACCAACTGTTCTATCTGGTTTACCCATTTCTATGTCTTTGAGTTAATACCCAACTCTATATGTAAATGTCACTTTAGCAGTAACGACAGAAAGAGGTCAGTGTTGTCGACCACCGAGTCAGTTGGTCAAATAGAATATATGTGAGAAGAGCGGTGAGAAATGATCAAGTAGCATAGCCACTCTGAGAGACGGGGTCATATCTGACGATTTAGAGGTCGGAGGATGAATATGATGAAGAGAGATGAGAGAGAAGGCGATATAAAGGAAGGAAAGGAGGATCGGCCGAAGTGAGGGTCATTCGTGGTGGTATAAGTATCGGCAGTTACCTCATATTTGAATTAGTGAATAAGTCGCATTATAGAGAACTGAGAATATGCTTGTTGTCTTAATCTTGGCCATAAAGAGGGTAAGATGTGTGAGCGAGGATGTGAACTCGAGGTTGTGTTGTCTATGATATATGGGGGGTAAAGTGGAGGAAAGGATAGAGTTTGGGTGTGACCGATCGCAATGACGTGGAGCTTTGTCACTCACTTTTTTGGTCTCGTCATTCCCTCTTCTTTTCCTTGGTTTCTCCTCTTCACCATAACACATACAAACAAAATGAAGTATTCCATATCTCTCAGAACTGCCCTGGTGGGTACAGTAGGATTACTCAAGCTCGTATCTGCAAGTTCAGTGATTGATCTTGACCCTTCCAACTTTGATCAAGTGAGCTGCCTTCCCAACGAGTTACATATTCAGCTGATATCCAGTATGTAGGAGGTTCCAAACCTGCCCTCGTTGAATTGTAAGTTTATCATGTCCTCCAATGACTCAAAAGCTGATCACATAGCTTCGCACCGTGAGCTTTCGGTTTGTTTGTCGATCTACGAAGCTAACTCTTTAAGATGGTGTGGTCATTGCAAAAATCGTAGGTCACTTTAATACACCTCGATGTCTTAGTTGACAAATAGTCGCACCGGTATATGAACAATTGGCCGATGCGTTCGACCCTTCTAAAGTTGTCATTGCTAAAACTGATGCGGATGGTGAAGGAAGAGATTTAGGTCAACGTTATGGTGTTCAAGGATTTCCTAGTTGGTTCATATCAATGATGTTGAAAAGGAAATGTCTGATGGAAAAATAGCGTTGAAATGGTTTCCCGCTGGATCGACTGAACCTGTGGATTATTCTGGTGGAAGAGACCTTGATTCTCTAGCTAACTTGTAAGTCACCTAAAGTGAAAAATCAGAGATGTGAACTGATGGAATAGTGTCAGCAAAGAATCTGGAGTGAAAAGTAGGATCAAACCTCCTGCTCCACCCATTGCTGTTCAATTGGATTCTTCCAATTTTGATGATATCGCCTTGGATCCCACTAAAGATGTCTTGGTGGCGTTCACAGCTCCATGGGTCAGTATCTTCTACTCATTTATATCATTTTCAACTGTCCATTTCTTCCTCCATTTGCTTCTATGATCCTCACCTCTCACTTTGCTTACAAGCTCAATTATCAAGTCCAACCCGCTAAAAGGTTTCAGCTTTCGGACGTTGACATGGAACTAACCCCTAGTGCGGCCATTGCAAAAGTATGAAACCCGCCTACGAAAAAGTTGCCAAAGCGTTTGCCGCCGAGACCAACTGCATAGTCGCTCAAATAGACGCAGATGCAGAAGACAACAAACCTATCGCTGCGAAATACGAAGTTCGAAGTTTCCCTACTATCAAGTTTTTCCCAAAAGGAAATGGTGAACCTATCGCTTATAGTTCCGGTCGATCTGAAGCACAATTTGTGGAAGTGAGTCATTTCATTTCCTCCCCTCTTTCTTCCACACTCATCCAAACGTATTCTCATTTCAGCTTAGCCGACGGACGGGGTACAATGATGCTGCGCTTTCAACAACATATCCGAATGTGATAGTGGGTTACAAGAAATGTCAAGGATTGACATTTAGTTTCTCAACGAACATTGTGGTACATCTCGTGATTCCTCTGGACTACTTTCTACCCAAGCGGGCAAAGTATTAGCATTAGACGAATTCGCCAGTACCTTTTTTTCAGCTTCTTTACCTGACCGACCCGAGATATTGAACAAAGCTCGAGATTATCTCGTTTCGACATTCGGATCGGCAAAGAAGGAGGCCAACACGACTGCGGAATATTATGTGAAAGCGATGGAGAGGATGTTATCAAAAGGTGAAGGATGGTTGGTCAAAGAACAAGCTCGGTATGTTTGTTCAGACATTCTTGTCATTTTTTTGGCTTTATCACAGGGTGCTCATCATTTTTTTGTGGCTTTATCACACTGTGCTCAGCAGAAGACTGAAATAAGCGAAGATAGAACGTTGTTGACATGATAGTATTGCAGGTCTTCTCGCTTCTCCTTCTTTAGCCCCGACGAAATTGGACGAACTTAAAATCAAAGCGAATATCCTTTCTTCTTTCGTCGCTAAAAAGGCTGAGGAGGTTTATGAAGAAGCGGCAGATGTCGTCAAAGGAGCAACGGAATCTGTAGAGTCTTTCGCTGACAAGGTAAAGGATGAGTTGTGATACTATCCAGCTTGCAAGCTTTATGAATGTCAACTGAGACGCTGAGAGATATTTATGCATCGTATCTGCATGTTGCCATCTGCGTGAGCATCAGTGAGACGTCTTGGTATATCTCCCCGTGCCTTTCATGACAATTGCTATTTTCAGCCCCGGGTCGAAGATGATTTCCATAAGATGTTGAGCAATTGCGAGAAAGGAAGTAACTTAGGTTCATGTTCACATAGACAATAAATTGCATCCTTGTACATATTCAATTTTCTAATCCGGTTGTTTTTTCTACCCAGATATCCGGGAGGGTATAAAGATGCCATTTTTTTATGATGCTTTCAAGGATGTAAAATGTTATTTTGGCGGGACAGACTTGACAAACGGAGAGAAAAGAAAAACAGATGGACAGACTAGACATAGTTTTGGAGGAGAGACGATGATAGGATTTTGATGGATTTTTGACGAAGTGCGAAACGATGAGAATGGATTCAATTTAAAAGAATAAGAACACACATGTGAATGATTTGAAGTGTGTTGAAGGAGGATACGAATGCCAAAGGAGAGAGAAGAGAAGAGAAGAGAAGAGAAGAGAAAAGAGGAAATTGTGCGATGATGGAGGATATGTATGAGAAGATGACCAAAGTTTCATTGGGTGAAACTCTGTGGAAGAACATCGATGGAGGTAGATGCGGAAGGGGAAGAAGGGTCGTATGTGTAATGTATGGGTGGGGCGGGGAATGGGAAAGAAGGTCTGTGCCTGTTTGTCAGCAAGGATCTGCAAGGGGTGCTCGAAACATGTCATGATTGGCTTAGATGTCATATGGTGTAGCGTGTGCTGCAGCTTTTGAGGGATAGGGGAGTTTGGGAGTTCATCAGTCATACATCTGAATGACACCTGAAAGGCGTGCTTGTAACGGCTATGATAATTGTGAAAGGATCAAGACGACAGTGAGCTGTAGTGAGAAGGTGGATATGTGTTGAAAAGCGGAAAAGGCTGAGAAGGATGAGAAAGATCAATTGGGGGGGGGGAGAGGGAGAGAGATGGGAAAATCACTCACCACCTTTGCCATGTCGTGTGATCACCTTCAGTCCCACCACTACCCTGTCTTTCCATCTGCGCCCCATCCCCTTGTCCTTGTCCCTGTCCCTGATTCACAATCATCCCATCGTATTGATTCTGTTGAGCGGGAGAGAAAGGAATAGCAAATACTGGTTTACCATCCGGACCTAAAGATGTAGGACTTTGTCTTTTATTTGGAGAACTACCTTGTTGCTGACTCGGACGACGATAAGGATGATGTCTATTTGATCTAGAATAAGGTGGATTCTTTTGAGTGATAGTCCCACTTGAAGATCTTTCCATCAAAGCTGTTCCATCGTTTTTGAGACCGACAACACCGTCAAAGTATCCGGTACCAAGTTCAGAAGATTCAGACTCTCTACCTGAGCCTGATATGATGACTACCGGATCATCCATTGGCGTGAGCAGGTCACGGTGAGAGTTTACATCTGATGGTGTGACGAGGATTTGAGATTGGTCGGACGCTTGACGAGAGGGAAGAGTGTTCAGTGAAGGTGGTGCACTAGGATGGGAAAATGAGAGAGCGGAGGATGTGAAAGGTTCGTGGTTTGGTGGACTGGGTGAGGATGCTGCAGGTGGATTAGACATAGGGTATATAGGATCTGAGACGAGTCAGCGAGGAAAAGTTCTCATCATTCTGACGAGGTATTGATGATAGAGGTAAAGAAGGGAAGAGACTCACTGATAGGAGCTGTAGCACCTTCGTCACCTCGACATCCCTTTACTAACCAATGTCGCCGTAATGCATCTTTGCGAGAAAAGGTTTTTCCGCACTTATCACAACCGAAAGGTTTGACAGCCAAATGGATTCGTTTATGTCTCTTCAAATCGTGATTCCGATTCTGACGTCAGCTGGAAGTTCAACAACATATTCTCGGGCCAACTCACAAAACTTTGCACGCATTCGTCGCATTTGTATGGTCTCTCCACTAAAGGTAATCGACTGTGGAATGAATAACCACCACCTGATCCTCTGTTCATATCCATGTCCGACATTCCAGGACCTAGATGACTCAACGTGTTGTGTCGCGCCAGAGGAGGTAAAGAGAAAGCGTTACTCAAAGACGGTGTCGACATGCTGGAATGGTACCCATAGGGCTGAGAATAGTTGGAGGGATATGATAATGACCTAGGCATCTCTGCAGAATGTTGAATACCAGAGACCTCATTAGTGTAGTAATTCGGGATACTATACGGACCAGGACGAGGTGATTGAGATGTCGGACCAATCGGATAAGTTGGTAAGGATCTATAGCTAGGATAAGAAGAAGTACTGGGGGCATAAGTGGACGGAGTGGTGTGGTAACCTGTTGGAGGGAATGACGCGCTACTTCCTGCTCCTACCGAAGGGGATGGGGGGACAGGTGAGAGATGGTGCATCATTACACCCCCGTGTGACTGTTGTGGTTGTAAAGATGGACGTTGAATAGAATGGACGGGCGATATTTTGCCTTCGTTGTCATAAGAGCGATATGCCCCGGAAGGTGAAGGAGTAGGCACAGGGTAAGGATACTGAATACCGTGATCGACTTGCTGCTTGAAGAACGTTGGAGAAGGATATGGACCTGCTTGAGGTTGAGAATGAACGGGATTATGTACGACAGGTCCGATGCCCACCGGAGGGCCAACGGGAGTCGGATCCGATTGATGCATGGCCATCGGTGGTCGAGATTGAGAGCTCAGAGGAGGAGGAGCAAAGGCGAATGGGGAAGCAGTCGGAGGTGGTGATTGTTGTGGAGGTTGAGGTTGTGATTGCTGATGTTGTTGTTGTTGTTGAGGTTGTGTTTGAGGATGTGGCTGAGGATGTTGAGAGTACTGTCGAGAGAATTGATGATATCGTCAGAAGAATGGGGATGGGGGTGTGTTC